TATTTAGGCCAGGCTCAGTCTGTTTAAGCAAGATTACTCCTGTTTAAGCCAGTCAGACTGTTTAGACCAGGCTGCTCCTGTCTTGGCCAGACTTTGTCTGTTTAAACCAGGCTAATCCTGTTTAGGTCAGACTCAGGCTGTTTAGACTAGGCTATGCCTGTTCGGGCCAGACTAGGACTGTTTAGACCAGGTTGCTCTTGTTTAGGCCAGACTCATCATGCGTAGACCAGACTGCTCTTGTTAAAGCCAAGCACATAGTGTATTTTATTCATCATACTGTAGCAAGGAACACATCCAAATGTAAGGGGCACAGTAATTCAGTTTATTAATTTGCCCATCTGTGCATCTCTCTGGCTACATTTCAAACAGCATCAAAGGTCAGGGAAGGACTAGCTCTTGTTTCATGGGGAGAAACAGGAAATACACCCAGACAGATGTTAAAAGAGAACTGCATCTTCCATTGCCTGAATCTGTGCATGAAAATTGTGTTAAATATGAGCGTAATTAAAGAAAAAGAAACAGAAACAGTGATAAGTGTGAAAAACAAGGCATATAACCCTGTTTCCAGGGAGCTGCAGAGCCGAGTGTTTATTATTTTCACCTTCAGAACACAAACTGTGCAGTCATCCGCTTTAATTCATCACTTAAACGCTGAGAGATAGCAGAAGTCAGCCAACCATGTCTCCCATGTGTCAGGATAGCGGAGTACCCTGATAAAGCGTAATGTGGGACTGCCACTACCCCACAAACACATTTTAAAAATATATTCACAAAGTTTTTGGGTAACTACTGATAGTACGAACAAGAGACAAGTCATTTCCCAACCACCCTGATAAGGCTAGAATAACATGATATAGTATAAGGACTTGATATAGTTGTACAATAACAGTAAAATATGATCGTAAGGTTTTGCCTTCAAAATCAGATGTGTGTCAAGGGGTCACAGAAGATGTGAACAGTCTGTTAATCAATTTATCAATGAAGTGTATCAGTCAGTTAGAAAAGGGTGTGGCCCAGGCTTTAATGCGATAGCTAATTAGCCTGTTATTCACTCCACCCATCTGTTTGTTACCGTAGCAGCTCCCTTTGACCTCTCCTGCTTTTCCCTCCTTCCGACTCTCTCCCACTTTACTTGAGCAACCTGCATTCTCCATTGGTCTCAAGTGACCCTCCCTCCCTCTCTCTCACTCTCATGGGGGTGGGAGACGGTTTGGGGGGGGAGGCAAGAGAGGGGGAGCAAATAAAAAGGAATGAAGGAAAGAAAATCAGACAGACTCACGGACGCGTGCGCACTCTAAGAGGAAGAGGCACAGCCATGCCGGGTCTTAAGAAGCCAGGTACGGTAAAGGCATGTCAGGCGTGACAGTTTCGAGTTGAACTCAATGCTCTTCGGACTCCAAGATTTTCAGTTATCAGTTGGGACTATTGTATTAGCATCAGGTTGTACGGTTGAGAAGAAAGAATATTCTCACCACATATCCTTGCACCTTAAACAGTTAAGCAGGGCATATGTAATAGTGTATGATTGCACCTTTACCATTGTCCTTCCATTCTTCTGTTACTTTCTGTCTGTAAGTGCTACTCTTGGTAGGAATGTGTTAAGTGACCTATTTACTTCGCTTCCTGAATTCAGCTGTCTTCATATACCACGCACTGAGATCCAAACATTCCTTGTTAATATTTGATCATTTGGTTTTTCTGTTGAATGCGACTAAATTAGAGAGCGCAAAGAGTACGATGAAATCATCTACAGAGGACAGCAGAATATCAGAGCTGTTAAATGTAGCGTCATTAACTGGCCGTTCAGAGGATATTTCTGGCTGATGAACCTGCATCTGAGGTCAGCGACTCTGTCTTCTTCTCTTATTTTGGATCATGAGCTGTAATAGGGAATTTGAGCATTTTGGTTTTGGTTTTCCACTACCATTTAGGAGGAGTGATTCAGTTCCTCGGGGGTGGTCAAACATTCTGAAACTCAGACATAAATACTGGCTTCATGAAGCTCACACTATGCCATTTTTTTATTGATACTGGTTGAAATGTGGGCTTGTTAAATTCTGTGGATACTTTAAAAGCTTTAGGTCTGTGGTTATTAGCGTCTATGCTACCATATGTCTGTTTATACCCATCGGAGAGCTTTGACTTGTCCAGTTCTTATTTGCTGTTGCTGCTGCACAGTGGCGGGCGGTGGACAGAGAACAAGGAGGGCGATAAATATGTCTTTAAACTGCTTATTAGTCTTGATCTGTTTTCAGTCAATTTCCCTGGTAAAAGACACTTGAACCCCCTCTCAGGTGCAGCTAATTGTCTTCGTTAAGACGAGAAATCAAACGCACCAATTGATCGCAAAAAAGAGCGCATTTTAATCTTTTTCAATTAAACAATCATTACGCACAGGTTTGACGACTTGCTTAGGATGTGACAAAATTTAACGCGGAAAATCCACAGTGGTTTTTTCGTGAAGAGTTGCCTATTAAGGCATGTGAATTAAACATTTTATAGAATTTATTATTCACTCACCTAAACATTTCATTATAAGGGAAACTAACATGTTGACCAAATACAATGATTGAAATCGGGTCACTAATCTCATTCGTTTCAAGGGATGTTTTCCGCCCCACCAGTTTTCCGTTCACCGCCCGCCACTGCTGCTGCATATGTTGTCATAATGTTCAACATGGTTCCTTTTGCCACCTTAAATTATTTTGCATCTTATGTCGCTTATGCACCAGCCACTTGGCCACCAGCTATTTGGCCCCTCGGAAACTGCTGAAGATTAGCTTTCAAATTTACAGGAATGACCCGTGAAGATGCTTTTGTGATTGTGGTTTACAGACTTCAAAAATAAAGCACTTTTTTAGGGGCAGTTTTGATATTATGTCTAAAACCCATGTACAAATTTGTTTTTTTGGCAGATCATACGCAAAAGGGGCTCAATGTATTGGAACTTGTCATTTAGCAACGATCAAATTTTGATTGTCAACATAAACAGAGAGTCATGATGAATTATTTACAATATAGCCAAGTTCGGCTCCTGCAAACAGACAATGTACATACATAATTGGAACATTCTGTGGTTTGCTATTCACATCATCTGCAATTAATTTGTGTGCCAATTCTTTCTTGTTTTTTATGTCTGCAGGCTTGATGTAAACTGATGCCTTTAGGTAGAAGGAATGTGTGTAACAGGCTGTTTACAGTAAATTTCTCAATTTAACGGGGAAGATAAGAGCCTAGGTTAGATACTTTACAGTAAACTACATCTGACTGCCGTTGCTGTGCTTTTTGCAAACATGATATGAGCCATGATTCGCAAAGTCTTTCTTAAACTCTGGACAAGAACAAAGAATGCTCTCCCTCACTACATGTAATTAAGGATATCACTGAATGCATATCATGCAACATGGCTGTAATGCCCGATACGGCTCACACGAGCCAAGGTAATTACCAGCGAGATCTTTTTAAAGGGGAAGAGGAGGGGCGGGGGTAAGATATGTGTCGATGCTGCAAAATTAGAAGGGGAACAGATGTCCAACCCAGCACTTTCCGCTTCTGAGTTTTGGCAGTGGATGCGAGGGGCAGAGGAGTTTACTTTAGCGCTAATTTGTGACCCGGGGTCAAATGTTAAAACCCCCGATTTGACGCCATTTGTCAACACTCAGGCTTAGAACCTGGCCTGCTGTGGTCTTATACAAAAAATTGGCACTATGAAAGGAATTTCGCATACAGTTTCTCCCTACTCTGTCTTAGTGGCATAGTTTATGAGCATTAAAAGGCAGCCAAGGAATATGTTTCTAATGCCATATCCACTCTCTGAAGGTGCAGCACCTGCTCTGCTATTGCTACAGCTTGATGAAGTCTATGTTTTCCCGACAATGTTTTTGTACACTAATGTTACATACCAAAAAAAGGATATTATACCTTTGACTGCAACTGTCCTATGAGCTCCTGATGGTCTTAGACACACATTAGCTCCTCGACATCCCTGTATTAGTTTAGTGTAAGTTCTGTCAGCCCATGAACATTTTTACTTTGTTAAAGCGCTGAGACGGTTATGGTATCACCAGCACATTGGTGAACAGATCTATATACATTTGTGGAAGTGGCCATGTGACTCTGAAATGTGTTATCTTACAGCACAGCTTATGTTTTCAATAGATGGGCTAAAATATTACTGGCTTCCACCCTCACTGATGTCTGGCTCTTTTTTCAGTGGTGCCTCCATTTCTCTAAATCACAGGCAATGTGAAAGAGAAAGAGAGATTGATTTTTATTCTTTATGTGGTAGACAGAGAGAGTTCAGAAGTTCAAGGAAATTGCGCCCATCTCTCTCCATAGTACAGTCCGTGTCATGAACTGTCATGAACCTAAACTGGGCCAAATTTAATTCACTTTTTAAATTCAGAAGTGTGGAGACATCACCTTCCCCAGACTGCGCACATTATACTGTTGCGGTTTGGCTGTTATGAATTTGCTTTTCAGACCAGATTCAAGGTATAGCTACCAAAATAATTATTCTATTCATATTTTGTTCTCAAGATGATAATCCAAATAGCATTGGGGTTCAGTATCTGTTTATTAATGGATAACTTGCACTAACTAGCTAACTAGCAAACTTGAGAATAATGACTCAGTTTTCAAACTGTCATTCACTTGTTCACGCTGGTATCCAATGACACAGGCTTATTTGTCTTTGAAAATTGACAATGCTAAGCACTTTCAGATATGTCTACTATATTCTGATACTGTTTGGAGATATACTTTATCGAACCCTGTGGGTAATTTGTCCTCTGCATTTTACCCATGCTATAGTCAGGAGCAGTAGGCAGCCACAGAGCAGTGCCCAGTGACCAACTCCAGTTCTAAAGCCAGTTCCTTGGTCAGGGGCACTGGTAGGAGTGTTCCTATGATGCATATTTTTCTGGGTGAGGAAACTGGAGTACCTGGAGGAAACCCACACAAACACAGGGAGAGCATGCAAACTCCTCACAGAGAGGCCCTGGCCGGCCAGGGCTCGAACCCAGAACCTCCTTATTGTGAGGCAGTAGTGCGAACTCCTGCACCACCATGCCATGATAAAGCTTATCACCATGCTTTGATAAAGTTTATGTTTTTTTTTGCATACGGGTGAAAGCTGGGTAAAGAAGCCTGTTTTGATCTTTCTTTTTTAAATCAAGATTCTTAATACTGTAGTTCTGTTCAAAAGCCCTAAATGTAAGCAAGAGGATGCTTTGTATAGACTGTATAGACCCCGTTCTCGCTGAAAATTTGGGAATACTCAGGATAATGAACACAGATTCAACCTTTGTTTGACCCTTTAACACCACATGAAGGCCCTGAAAATATCTCGGGTCTTAGCCTCTCACACAGGAGTCTACCATTTCACCCAGGATTAGGGGTGTAATTTTTCCTCTTTCATGCCCAGTGACCCATTTGAATCATATAGACCTGCTTTAAAAGAATATTTTTTTTTGTAGAGTTCAAGATTGGTACTGAGGTTATATGAAATTAATTAATGTTTGTGACGCCGAACTTGAAATACATTTAATTATTAATATATTTTACAAAATCACACTTCTTCATGGAAACAATTCTGGTTGGCTTGCTTGAGACTACGTAGAATTGTGGGAAATTCCAAGGTTGTGAGTGAGGTCAGGGGCCCAGATCAAATGACTAATTTTCAAAATAATTCACGCGGGCGAAGAAAAAAATGCATATATTCTTGCATCATACTAGTAGTGCGAATGCCCTACTTGAAAGTCACAAATGACTGATTGATCAATCAGATGTGAATGCTACTTGAAATAAACTCGGATTTTGTTTTGACTGATAACTGATATTTATAGGTTTAGATACTGGCTGCAGATATCTGGAACTGCAATGCATTAGTTGAAGTCGTACCTGCTAGAAGAACTATTTTCCTTTCCAGTTTAAAATGATCAGTCCTCTCAGGCTCTGGGTAGTTGTGGCATTCTGCAGGGTTCTATTCTGGGTCCTACATTGTTTATGCATGCTTCTCCAGGACCATATCATCGGCTATCACAATTGATGCCATCATTGTTACTCCAATGACCCAACTAATGCAAGCCCGTATTCAAGTTCTTAGGAATTAAATAACAGTTATTTATGACTGAACCAGTTCTAATTCTGATAAAACTCGGGTGATAAAAAACTTCTGAGACTTAAATCACAATAAAATTGAACTTAATTATTGGGACCATAGCCTTTCCTTGATCAAGCTCAGATAGCTTTTGGATCTCGTGTAGACTGTGCTCAGCCCAAAACTAAGATCCTCATAATAAAAATAGTGCAGTCGTGTTTTTATCAACAAAGAAATACAGCTGAAGGTAGACCTGTCGATCTTTAATGGACTGATGAAATAATACATACTTTTATTTCCTTGCTTAGACTATTAATCTCTTGACTGAATTAGTGTCAATGACACTGAGAAAAAACAAGACTGTATGCTTACTTTTCTTGATGCATTTCGCCATGGTCATATAGGCACCAGCTTCCGGTCATGGCAAAACACATAGTAAACATAGTAAACACCCCTGTTCCAAAATAAATAATCTAAAAAAAATTTGGTTGCTATAGGGTGCTTTTTCAAATAAGGACATTCTTATAAGTGAATGCTTTCAGGATATAACCAATATGATCAAAATCAGTTAAACTGATAATAATTAACTCAAATATTTATCCATAAATAGCAGTAAAACTATGTTTTAGCGAAAATAAAAAGACATATATCTGCACTGTCTGCAGGGTTTTCACAGCCAAGAGCGCAACAGGAACTAACCATTTTGACACATAAATTATATGCATCCAAATTGCGTAAAGCACTACACGCTTATGTGACAGCTGAAGAGTCCTGCCACTAGAAATGCCTCCTAATAAGTACACGCCCTGGCTACCTTGCCAATGAGCCTGGCTCTTTGGCAATGTGGTCAGTGTGTTTGACTCTTATCGGGGAGTGTGGGGTTCAATTCCCTGCCCAGGTCCTCCTTTGGCCTGCCACACTTAGTTTTGCCATGACCTGATGTTAAAGCCAATTTACCATGGGAAAGGGGGTTTTGTGCTGTCTAGTTTTTTCGCTACCTTATTGGTCAGTGTCATTTATTCGTATGTTAGCTGCCCTCCATTGTATACCGAATAATTTTATACTCCATTTTAAATATTGACTTATTGCCAACCAGTCCATACGTGGCCTCACACCAGGTTAAAATGTAGATCTGCTAACTTTGCGTAAGACTTGGAGATGCCTCAGATTTCAAAGTCTCAGCTGGGACTTGAGGTGATTATGTGTTCTCTGTTAAAGCCTAGAGACTCTAGAACAGCCTCCCCAGAGCATAAAAGCTTCTTTGGCTTCTCATCTTTAACACTTCTGCTCTGGTGAATGTGGCTTGAATAGGGTCACTCAACAAAAGTTGTGTGTAATTTACCTGATGACGTAATGTTAAGTTTGTTCATTTGAGCTGTTAAAGAGATTTGGGTGCCTAAGGGACCACAAATTGAACATGGCCCGTTTTTATTTATATTTATTTATATAAATATAGATTATATTTTGTATACAATAAAAAAAAATATATATATATATATATATATATATATATATATAAACACACACACACACTACCGCTCAAAAGTTTGGGATCACTTTCAAATTTCTTTGTTTTCCAAAGAAAAATACATTTTCATGCATTTCACAAACATTTTTATCCATTTCACAAACGATTAAAATTAATCAGATGATTTTCAAAGAATGATCTTCATTTTTGCATAGAGGCCTATTATCAGCAACTGTCAGTCCTCTGCATCAATCTCCTGGTATGGCTGCTAATCCAAGTTAAGTATTTTATAAGGCTAATTGATTATTAGAAAACCCTTCTGCAAATGTGTTGCACAACTGAAAACCGTTGAACTAATAAGGGAGCGCAAAAGGGAGCATGGCATTTTTGAGGTTGGTTTAGTACCTGAAGCTTCAGCAGTTGTTTGTTTGTTTACAGGCTCAAAATGGCCAGAAAGAAAGAACTTCCTTTAGAAACCCGTCAGTCTATTGTTGTGCTTAGAAAAGAGGGCTATTCAATGCGAGAAATTGAAAACTTAAAATCTCTTACCATGCTGTCAACTACTCCCTTCAGAGAGCAGCACAAACTGGCACTAACAAGGACAGAAAAAAAAAAGGTGGAAGGCCCCGATGCACAACTGTGCAAGAAGACAAATATCTGAGAGTGTGTAGTTTAAGACAAAGACGCCTCACAGGTTGTCAACTAGCAGCTGCGCTAAATAGTTCCCGTCAAACACCAGTTTCAGTATCAACAGTGAAGGTGGTTTTTTTTGATGAAGGCAAAGTTTGAAGTACATATTCATCATTTTCCATTAAAATCGTTATTTCTAGCTCAGACAATGTCAGCATGTTCTGTTCATTTGCTATATTTCCTATTCAGACTAATTTCATGTGTGTTTCCATGGAAAACAAGAAAATTTCCAAGTGATCCCAAACTTTTGAGCAGTAGTGTATATATATATTATTAACATCTGATAATGTTGAGAGTTTTCGGAGTTTCTGTAATGGTAATTTAAATTAATGATTGAAAACAGGTTGCGACCAATCATTAATTCTAAGGGATGGTTTTGAGCCTCCCCTATTGCCAGTTCACCAGCCGCCATATAAATATATATTACTGTATACAAAATATAATCTATATTTTACAGTAATAATTCAAATATAAAGTAAGACTATAGGAATGGCTCTGAGGAGTTACTGTACATCAGTAGCACTGAGACACCAATCTTGGCTCAGATTCATATAGCAAATACACCATCTGAGAATTAAATACAGTCAAACAGATTCCTGTGGACACTATCACATGTAACAGTGGAGAGTAGAGAGAGTAGAGACCATAAGGCGTATGTAATACATTAGGGATAAACATGCTCCATCAGTGCTTACAGTCTTGTGCAAATTAATTGGATAAAGCGGGCTGGAGTGGGAAAACCAAACAACAAAGGTTTTCAGGCTTTTTATTTCTTTAATAGCATCTACATCCAGCGCTCAGTACGAGATGTGTCCTCCACGGTTCTTGACAAGCTGTTCCACCCATTTTGGCATGGAACTGACCAGGTCTTTGCAGGTTGCCTTGATTTCTTCGTCGTAATGTCACACCTGGACAACTGCATCGATGACTTGGGCTTTTTTGGTGCAGTCCTTTTGGTGCAGTCATGATTTGGTGATGGACCAGAGATTCTCAATGGGATTCAAGTCAGGTGAATTACCAGGCCAGTCCAACACAGTTACAGTACTGTGTTGATGATGCAATCACATTGATTGCATTATACAAGTCAACAAAATTAATGAAATGTGGCTAAAAGGTACTATGCAGTGATCGTTGAGGTGGTTATGTAAAACGTCCTTCACTTGGCATGGCTATTTGCACTCCATTCAGCTTATTCAATTGACAAGCACCTTTATCCAATTAATTTGCACAAGACTGTATTTAATGCTGAATGTTTGCAGTGTAACACTCAAAACATTCTTTACAGGAGACACTGGGAATGCTGACAGCACAGGAAACATGAAGGCAACTTGCCTTTCATTTTAATCCATGCAATTTTTTCCCTTTAACCTTGCATTTTGTCTGTTACCGCTGTACATTCATTAGCTACTGCATTCTCTGAGCTCTCAGTATGTCGGTCATTAACCAGCGAGTACCATAGAGTTAAATGTGTATTTCTAGCTAGCATATGGTGCATCCAGTAGGGACCAATAGGGACCATATTTACTCTGCAATTGAATTGACAGCATTTATGCAAAAGAGCATAGCTTTATTAGCTTTGGCTAATAGATGCCATAACACATTATTTCCAACAGCCATATGCCCCAGTGACCACTATCATAAATTTTAGCACGTTTTCGTGCCTGTGGAAATATGACACGGCAAAGACATTAATGTCATCTCATTCCCCTGACCTTTACGATCCAATGAGCTGTGTGATGTAAGTTCTCAGCTATATTTCTGATTGGATGAGCAGGAAAATTCTTCAAGACTGCAGCACAGTGTGATACACCCAC